TGTCTATGTAGATATATTTATATATAAATTATTTATTTATATAAAGACAAAACAGAGCTATTCCAGTAAAGATGGGGAATGCATGGTACATAGGTTTTAAAATTTTAATATTAACAGACAATAATTAGTAGACATAATTTCACTTTTCTGCCTTTTTTTTTTAATATGCCAGAAATAGCTAATAGGCAGCACAGGTCCTCTTTGCTCCTTGTTCCTGTCCCTCTCCAGTACAGTTGCTATCCAAGAAACAGCAGACATCTATAAGGGAGTATCGATAAGTGACAGCTATAAACAATACCACAGTTGTCCTCCCGTAGACCTTAGAGTAACTCAGCATCCCACAGTGCATGGTAGGCAGTGAGAAGAAGGACTCGTTGGCCGGGCAAGGATGCCAAACATCCATAGTGACTCTCTATTTTCTTTCTCTTGTAGAGATGTGTGAATAAATGTGGGCATGTAAATGCAGGCTATTAGGGAGTAACATTAATAAGGGTTGAAATAATTATTTTATTATTGAACTATATGAAGAAAATATTATCTTAAACATCGTTTTATTATATATAAAAGTAGTTTTAATTATATTATCTTCTAATATTAATTTAATAATTAGAAGCGGTATTTGGGTTTTTGTTTTGTTTGTGATGATCAAACCCAAAGCCTCATTTACACTAGTGAAGTGTTCTAAATCCTAGCCTGATTTTTTAAAAAGAGTTTTCCTTAAAAAAAAGGGGGGCCACATCTGTTTTTAATATTTTTAAAAGCTTTAGTGAATTAAAATTTTCATTTGCTTATGTAATACAGGTTATTATTGGTCTTGTCCTTAATGCACACCTTCCCTTGCAATTTGTGTAATTGGATAGAGCTTTCTTAAAGGTTGACACCTAGTTATATTTTTTAAATATATATTTATTTGGTTAAGAAACATTGCTTGAATTAATAAAATCAACATAGAACATAAATCACTACTGTGAAAATTATCTTAGGTCTCTTTTATTCTTATGAAAAAATGTTTATCCTTGTTATTTCATAGTAGAGATGGTGATTAATGAAATGATATTCAATATGTGTATTTAACAGGTAAAGAATTCATGTGTTTGGAAATCTAAATTCGGCTCAGTAGCAGTCAGCCTTGTGATTTTCTGTCATTTATTTTTGCCTTAGCCTCTGTCTGTTCTTTTTAATAGTATAAACTCTGAAGTTCTTTGTATTTGTCATATTCTGTAAAACATAATAAAACTGCACTATCCTCTGACCAATTTGTCAAAAAGTGTTCTGATACAATTTGGCTGGCCTTGATGTTTTGCTTTTGTTTTCAGCCTGTAGAAGAGCTAGCAGAATGATAATCTTCTTTCTTTTTATAGAAATTATGACCCACTCAAAACACAACCCAAGAAATATGCCAAATCCAAGTACGACTTTGTGGCAAGGAATAACAGTGAGCTCTCAGTTCTAAAGGATGATATTTTGGAGGTAACAAATTTCACCTTTTTTAAAACTCTTAACAAAGTGAACCTAGTTTATTTCCCTTACAAAGCCCTCCTGAAAGAACTGTGGAGGTAAAGAAACCATTCTTTATAGTATGAGTAAGAACACAGTATATGGTGTCCACATTTAGAAGGGTCAGCTGCTTCACCAGTCTATCTGACCCAATGTGTCATAGGTACAAGCAGAAGCTGTGTAGAATATGTGGGACAGTGAGATGGAGTTCTTGGCTTATGTCATTGTCTTCCTTTTTCTGGGATTTTTCATTTTGGAATCAAGGGTAGTTATCAATTCAGGTGTGAATGTACCACAGTATTCTAATTAAAATAACAACAACCCTTTTTTTTCCTTCTAATATGCTTATAAAATGTATCCAGCATTTTGTGAGCTGATGGTAGTGGGAGTGGTTTACCGTGACACCCACATCTCTGTCTTAGGTTGTAACTAAGAGTTCATCTCACTAAATATAGAAGAGGAATGTTCATAGTAAATTTTGCTAAAAAATTGTTTTTACATTTCTCTATTTCACAAATAGGAACAATGTGTTTTTCTAAGAGGATCATCTTAGTCCCCTATATGTACAGATGCGTTCTGGGGAGGTACCGGGATGTTGGATAGATTCACTGCAGTGATACATGTAATTCTTAGTGCAATTCCTGTGAGTCATTTAATGAAAAATATATTAATGCCAAGCCCACTCATCAGAAATGAAAAAGTTATTGAAGTCTGCAAATGAATATCGAGCTTCCTTCATAGATTGGTTTCCTTATGGCAATTATACCTTTCTTTTCTCGCAGATACTTGATGATAGGAAGCAGTGGTGGAAAGTTCGAAATGCAAGTGGAGACTCTGGGTTTGTGCCAAATAATATTCTGGACATCGTGAGACCTTCAGAATCTGGATTAGGGCGCACTGATCCACCATACACACACACCATACAGGTAACTGCAGTTTCTTAGCAAAACTTAATATCTACTAAATTTCAAATTCATCACTCATAAAATTTAAATAACTTTTGTATATTAATGATTTTGCAATTTAATTGGTCTTACCACTGGAGCCAGGGTGAGAGACATAGTGAAGAATCATACACATATTTTCTGATTTATTTCTTCAAGAAATTGTTCAAAATGTTTAGCACTAAGTGACCATTTCTCTGAATGCTTTTTTCCCGTAATATTTCCGACATTGTCAGAAATTGCATATCCATCTTTTTACCCACAGTGTTCCTGTGCCCTGGTTCCCTTCCCCAGACAGAGGGTAGCAGTGAGGTGGTGGCAAGAGTGTTTTGCTGTTCATCTTTACCAGTTTTGCCCTAATATTCTCTTAAATGTTCTGCCCCTGGACATTTGAATTTTCACTCATCTCATGCTAATACATAAGTACTTGTGCAAGTTGGATTATAATATTTTTCCTGTCTTGAAATTAAGGTTAAAATATATTTATTATATAGATTTGCTAGATCAGGCTGTCCCTTCTTGGTATGGAATACTTCTTAAGATCCATGCCATATTTTCATTTTCAATGACCCTGGTCATCTCATTTCCTGTTATAAATGAGTTCATTTATTATTAAACCCTTGGAATTTCAGACCTGAGATCTGTACTCGACAGTGAGACACCAGAATGGGTGGAATCTCATGGGCTCAGCCTGTGACCCTGGGGCACCTTCTCACTCCCCAGGAAGAAAACTTTCCATTTTTCAGAGTCTTGAGATAAAGAGCACACCCGATGATAATGTGATAGATTTATGTAGAAGCTATACAGGATATAGAGCAAAACAGTTAATTTTTATGCTTGGTCTGGACTAGCTTGCCCAGAAGTTACGAGCCTGTGCAGACCTAGAATTGAAGTCCTTCTCCTGCTGCCTTAGTAAGTTGCTTGCTGACATCCTCACGGTTCCTCATGATGCTGGGGCTCAGTGGAAATCCTGCTGTTGTACAGAAGGACTGGCCTTGTGAGAATCCATCAGCCAAGCAAACATTTAAAATAAAGAATCAGCACATAATTTCTATATCTCTATAACCTACAGTGATGGCGGCAGAAATTCTCTTTGCTGTGGTTATGTTTTGTCGGGTCTGACATGTATATTACTGTGTACTTATTTTATGTTCATCATTTGTCATTAGCTGTTGATGCCAAGGAAGGAGTTTGAATTATTCAAGGTATGACCTGCTCCATTTCCCATGAATTTTTGAAGTGAATTTTCTAACTTAGGTTTTGTAACATTTTCTTTCCTAAGTTACTCTTTTCTGGGTTTGACCTAATATGCTGGTGGCTTCAGTGTGCTTCATGAATGCCAGCTATTCATTTTCTTTCCTTGGCCTTGTCTTTAAACAGTGACAGAATGTATGCCATGCGTCCTTGGGATATATGGGTTGCTCTTGGTGTTTAACCCATGGGAAGCTATAATAAGCACTGTTCACAAAAGATATCCCTGTGTTGTGAGCAGAATCCTAAGAGTTTAAAAAAATTGTCCAAGTTTGGTTTTGCCCATGTGCATAGTTTCTAGGAATAGGCAAGCTAAAAAAAAAAAAAAATAGATACTTAAATTTACAAATAACATAAATTCTAAGTATTTTCCTTCACTGAGATTTCCTAAACAAGAAATTGGTATCTCTTCCCTTTTCCCATGTACTACTCAGTCTTTTTTAAATCCAGTTCTGATTCCTGCCTTGAGCTATAAGTTGACTTTTCTGTTTAAAGCTTGCATCTGTCTAAAATAGAACCAAAGCAATTAGTACATTATCATAATCAGAGAGAGTACTTTTGAAGAATGTAAAATCTGTTTCTTTCTTTAACAGAACTTCATCTTATGTTTTTGTCAACTTTAGCGCAACCAAGATTTTTTTTTTTTTTGAGTGCTCACAAGTTTCAGGAATTTGTTTTACTTCTTTGTGTAAACAGAAACTTGTGGCCCATTTGAGCATTGCCTAGTTTGGCTACTTCCTTTTAAACTATTCAACACTGTCTCACTGTCTTCTAAATTTTTTTCTATGCAACGAATGCAGTGATATATATATATATATATATAGATAGATAGATAGATAGATAGATAGATAGATAGATAGAAAGAAAGAAATGTGTTTAGCAGCTCTCTGTTATGTGGTGTTTAGATTGAAAGCCCTACTTTTAAAAGTTATTAAAAAAACAGTCTGCTTTTTAACACCTCCTGAAAACTTTGGGCTGAGCCCAACAAAATCACCAAGATCTTATAAAGTTTTAATAAGTAAGCTTGACAATCTGCTATCTGCTATCTGGCACAAATCCTGCTCTAAGAGGATTCCTAGTCTCAAAACATAGCATAAAGAAAAATAACAGAGTACAATGGAAAAAAATTCTTGAAAATGTATGCTGGCCATTTTTATATGGCTACAATGGCATCACAGATACCTTCATCTAAACTATCTAAAGAAAACTCCTGCCACTTAGTTCAGAATGACAATAAAGACACCACCATATTTATGTATTTTCCAGTGATCCCTGCACAGATTGGAATATTGATTGTGCCCCAAGCAGGCTGTAAGCAGTGCAGGCTGTAATTGGCTTGTTTTTGAGAAATGAGTCCAACCAAAGCCTACATGCTGAGGTCAGAGTAACTTGTACCTAAATTCGATTCCCACAATTAAAACCTTCTAACTAGAAGGACAGTGTTCTAATTACAGGTGTATATTTTGTCTATTCCATTCTTAATTCGAGAAAGCTTTGTCTTGCCCTTTATGAGCCTTATTTACTTTAATTTCCACAGAAAATTCATGGCTGCACATCCTCCTACTATGTAGTCCTGCCCTTGCATGTAGCTCGCCTTTACCCCAATTGTTTACCAATAAAAATCAGTGGCTTGGATTGGCCAAGGCCTTTGTCAGTTGCACCAGCATTGGTCATCCCGGCATCCCACTTTCTGTCTCTCTTAGTTCTGTATTTTAGTTTTTTTCTCCCCTCAGGCCTGTATCATACAGTGGGCAGGAGACTGGAACCTAATTGTAGGGGCCTCCAAAAGATCCCACTAGACTCACCTTTTAAAACTCAGTTGGGTTACAATTCATGTCTTATTCATCTTTTCACTCATGCACTACACAAATATTTAGGAGTGCCGGCATATTGCATTTAATTAACAGAACTGTAGAAAGCATAGCACTAAGCAGATCCCCCTAAAAATCTGCTGTAGGGTCATCCAGTCTCCAAATCATCCACTATGGCTCCCCACTTTCCTTTGTGGTCCTGTAGTGACCTTGTCTTTTCTCTTCAAATACAATCCATCCATTTCTCTCTCTGTCTCTCTCTCTCCCTCAGTCTCTCTCTCTCTCTCTCTCTCTCTCTCTCTCACCTGTCTCTTCCATCCACTGATATCAAAATTTTGAAGATATATACAGAAACTGCCCCCAGCAAAAATGTTTAGATCCCTGTAGTGTGCTGCAGCAGGATGCCTAGTGATTCACTGCTAAAGCTGTCTGCCCACTTAGAAAGCAGAGACCCTTGCTCTCCCGAATAGATGAGTCTGTGGTCAGTCTCGTGCTGTGCCAGGCATTCTCTCAGCACTTCACAAATACAAATTTATTTAATTCTCACAGAAACCTTGTGAAACAGGGAACTTAGACTGGAGCTATAACTTGACCGCAGTGACACAAATGCATGAAACCAGGATGGGGACCCAGCCCTCTGGATTTAGAACCTATGCTCTGGTGCACTCTATATATCATAGGGTATAGAATGAGAAAACTTATTTCCAAGTTTTTAAATACATTTTAAAAATTTATTTGAAATAAAAACATGTCTTCTTGTATAAACATGCAGGTTTTTACTGTATGAATGGTTAAACTGATATTTTCTCAGAAGAGCTTTACCACTCATGGTAACAGTTGATTGGATCAATGTTTAGAATTAAATCCTTGACTTATGTATCCATTTCTTTTATCGCACCTATTCTTTCACTTTTTATCATTTAGTCAAATAGCCTAAGTTATATGATTCATTTAAAAAGTGGACATTTTGTACATGGTGGAAATACAGGAATGAGATGTAAACTATTTCCATGCAACTTCTGTAAGTTACTAAGTATTTTTAAAATGCACAGAGTAGTGACTCCAATTTTCATCTATTCACATTTCCAGTAGAGAATTGTATTTGGATCCTGGCAGTCCCTGAACAAAGGGCACAAGGGCAGACCTTGCCAGTGGTTCTCACATTTTGCTCAGAGATCCTTTTCAGATGGCAGGCACCAGCAGTGACTAGGTGTTGTTGAGTTGTCACCTGATGTCCCTGGGAGTCCAGGCTATTCCGTATCCTCACATTTGGAGTTATTTTAACAGCTCACTAAAGACAGATATTCCCACCTAATGTGTTTCCCCATGGTTTAGCAAGTTTTAAAAATAAAAGTGAGGAAGGTACTAAAGAATTAATAAAAGATATGGAACATTTTAAAAAGAGATTAAATGAATCCACGGGAGAAAGGAACTAAATGCTTTGGAAATATTTTGGGGAAATGGTGTTTTTTGGTTAAAAAAATTGTTACCTGTCATATGGCCACGCACCTGCAATCCCAAGCACTCTGGGTGGCTGAAGCAGCAACTGCAGCCCAGCCTAGGCAAATTAGTGACTTAGAAAGACCCTGTCTTACAATTTAAAAATTAAAGAAAATCTGGGGATATAGCTCAATGCAGAGGCCCTGGGTTCAATCCCCATACTTAAATAAATAAATAAGGAAATTGTTGTAGAGTCAGGCCACGGATGGCATTCAGAATGCTTTCTCTCTTCCTACAATCTGTTTACTACACAGACTCCTTTATTTCTTTTGACTTGATTCTTAGACTTCTCACACTGTGATGGTTCCTTGCTAGATTTGCCCACAGGAATTTTTAGGCTCTGTACCAGCAGCAGAAACCATTTCCTCCCCGCTGTTATTGCTAATAGACCCAGTAGCCTGAAGAAGTCTTTTATTCATT